CAAGTACCATGGACAGCCAGGAGAACAAACAAATCTGTCTAAGAAGTGCAGTCAGAATATTCCTTGAAGCCAGGATGGTAAGATTCATCTCACATACACTGGACAAGTTATCAGGAGGGACCAGTCCCTGGAGAAGGGCATCATGCTTGGTAAATGGTGAGGCTGCAAAAAGAAGACAGACTCCCAAAGAGATCTGACTGACACAGTGGCAGCAGTAATGGACTCAAACAATTGTGAGGATGGTGCAGGACCAGATAGTATTTGTTCTGTCGAGCACAGGATCGCTGTGAGTTAGAACCAACTGGATGGCATCTAACAACAACGTAATTATAGAAGGACATAGGTTTCCAATGGTTAGTACAATCAGATGACTATTAAGTTGTATTTTGGAGTCCTGGTGTGGTGCTGTAGTATAAGTACTGAATTGCTAACCACAAAGTTGGCGGTTCAAACCCATCAATCACTCCTTGGAAACTATAAACGGTTACTATGAGTTGGAAACAACTCAACTGCACCAAACAAAAACAAAGCATATTTCAAATACATTGTGGTTGTTAAGTACCATCGACTCATAATGACCCTGAATAGGGTTTCTAAGGAGCAGGTGGGTTTGAGTCACCAACCTTATGGTTAGCGATCCAGCGCTTATCCTATTCAAAATCACCAAAAGATGAAGACAACCGAAGTATCCATCAACAGATAAATGGATAAACATGTGGTTGTTGTTGTTAAGTGCCATCGAGTCGGTTCCGACCCATAGTGACCCTGAACAGGGTTTCCGAGGCTGTAAATCTTTATGGAAACAGAAAGCCTCATTTTTCTCCCGTGGAGCAGCTGGTAGTTTTGAACTGCTGACCTTGTGGTTCGCAGCCCGATTCGTAACCACTATGCTACCAGAGCTCCTTAAGCATGTGGTATATACATACATTTTCCCAGATAGAGAAATAAGGCCCTAATCCATTCTACAACATGGATGAACCTTCAAAAGCTTATGCTCAGTAAAATAATTCAATTGCAAAGGCACAAATACTGTAAAATCTCACTGACAGGAAGTAACAAGAACAGGCAAATCTAGAGATCACAGTTCGTTAGTGATTTCCGGGGACAGGAAACAGGAGAAAGGGGCAGTCACTGTGCAGGAAGTAGTGTGTATTTGTTCACAGTGACAGGAAGTTGGTACAGACTATGGGTCGTGGTTGCACAACATAATGTAATTGATATAACTAAATTGTACACCTGAAAAATGATGAATTGAAAAATGTATTACATCTATTATACAGAATACAGTAATTAAAAACAAGGCTGAGAGCACTAAAATGTTATAGAGTTATTGTGAGAATTATATTAATTTACATATGTGTATGTTGTTAAGTGCCTTCGAGTTGATTCCAACCCACAGCAACCCTGTAGAGTTTCCAAGGAGCAGCTGGTGAGCTTGAACTGCCGACCTTGCAGTTCCAACAGCTTTGCAGTCTGGCTCATTAACCCACAGCGCCACAGCAAGACTCCAGCACATATGTGTATACACACGCACAAAGGGGCTTCAAAAAGTTTGTGGACAAATGGAATTAAAAGATAAACGAATGTACCCATGAAATTTCTAAAGCTCGCTCGCATATATACAAACCTCACTACTTATTTACTTAATTAATATTCAACATTTCATATTTATGACAAGAGTAAAACAGCGACTACCTATTTTGTGCATTATCACCATGTGTTGACAGTAAGGAATGTTGAGGTATAAGGTGACAGTAATGCTGGCTGTGATGTTTAAGGTTGTATGTCAACTTGGTTTGGCCATGATTCTCAGTGGTTTGGCAGTTAGGCAGTGATGTAATCTAGCAATTATTTAATGATGCAGTCATCCTCCATTCTTACATAGAGACCTGGCCTGACCATGTTGTTAAGTGAGGAGTGGGTGAGTATGTACACATACGTACATATACATACATGTGCTGTTAGCTACCGTCTAGTCATCTCCAGCTCATAGCAACCTTACGCACTACAGAACAAAATGAAGTCCAGTTGTTAAGTGCCTAAGAATAGGTTCCAACTCGTAGCGATCCTATATAGGGTTTCCGAGGAGCGGCTGGTGAATCTGAACTGCTGACTTTGTGGTTCAAACCAATCTTGAGGTCCAGTGCATTATCCCACAGTGCTATACCAGGACTCTGGTTGTCAGGTATGTATATATATAATTTAGAAGAGTGGCTAGCATATTAAAATACTGTATTATTATAATACTATTATAATATTAAGAGTCCTGGTATAGCACTGTGGGATAATGCACTGGATAGAAAAATCATATGAACCACAAGGTTGGTGGTTCCAGCTCACCAGCTGCTCCTTGGAAACCTTGTACAGGGTCGTTATGGGTCAGAACTGACTCAACGGCACTTAAAAACAATTATATTACATATTAGCTATTATTGTTGTTGTTGTTAAGTGCCATCAAGTCAATTCTGACCTATAGCAACCCTACATAGGATTTCCAAGGAGCAGCTGGTGAGCTGGAACCACCAACCTTGTAGTTTGAAGACTTTGCAGTCTGGCGCATTAACCCACAGCGCCACATCAGGACTCCTTAGCTATTATTATAAGTCAGTATATAGGAGTTCTGGTAGCGTAGTGGTTACGATTCGGGCTGCGATCCTTAAGGTCAGCGGTTCGAAACTACCAGCCGCTCCGCAGGAGAAAGATGCGGCTTTCTACTCCCGTAAGGATTTACACCCTCGGAAACCCTGTACAGGGTCGCTATGGGTCGGAACCGACTCGAAGGCACTTAACAACAACAATATACTCAAATTAAAAAGCTGGAACTCTAAAACCAGACTATCAGGATTCAAACTTTGGCCCTACTTCTAACTAGTTATATTACATAATCAGAATAGTACCTGACATATAGTAAGAGCTACATTAAATGTTAGATACTATTATTAGGAAGTGGGGATTAAGAACTGCCCTTCTGTTTTAAAGTTCTTTCAGAACCAAGGACTACCACAGTTCATAAATAAAGGTCTATGAAAGTGTTGACTATGACATTTCTTTGCTAAATGAATCAAGCTTTCTTGCTGCCAGACATTGCAATGTTAGAAATGTAGGACATGAAAAATGCTGGCTATAAAAGCACACTATCTTTAAAGAAAAACATAAAAGGTATACATAAAAGTACTATTGTTGTTAAGTGCTGTTGAGTCGGTTTCAACTTATAGTGATCCTGTGTAGGGTTTCTGAGGGCTGCCTAGTGAATTTGAACCACCAACCTTGTAATTCAAATGACCTTGCAGTCCAGTGCTTATCCTACAGCACCATACCAGAACTTCAAAAGTACTCTAGCCTCTGTTCTTTTATTCCTATATCATAACAGAAAAACAAAACCTAATTGCATTTTTAAAATACAACTACTATACTAGAAATTTCATTCCTGCTCCTGTGTTCACTTTGAGTTTGAATGTATGTGAGCTTGTGGGTGACCACTCTGGTCTACTGGTGAGTGGAAGAGGGGGAAAGGCAGCAATGAAGAAATGGGCTGAGTTCAACTATGGTCCATTGACTCCTGTTGACCTGAAGATGAGAGAGAGAAGAGGAAGGGCTGGTTGGTCCAAAGTGTGGTGAGGCCTGGAGACACCTCAGTCCATGGACAAGGACATAGCCACAAAGGGCTAGAGCTGAGAGTGAATCATCTACCTGATATGAAGTGAAGGGAGATGCAAAAGAACACCCAAACTTGCAGATAGTACACATTTGACCTAGCCTCAATGGCTTGATAATCAGAACTTGTCTAGAGGAAGATTTAAAAAAATAAATAATACAGGAAACAAGGGTAAATTACTACAACTTGATGAACCTGACCTATACTCATGGAAGTAGTTACTCTAAATACCAACAGAGAGGGAAGGAGTCTTCACATCAAGTATCAATGCTATTCCCTCTGTACACAGGGTAGTCAGGGACGGGCAACTCAGACATTGGCTACCTAAAATGAAGGGGTGATAAAGGCACGAAGTGTCTGGCTTACAAGTTTTCAAGAGGAAGTTTAGTTTAAGAGTGTGGGGGGAAGAAAGAGTCCCCACTGAACAGTTTTAATCTTGTCTAGCTGGGTCAAGTGAAAAGAGATGGGGATAAGAGTCTTATTACCCAACAGTGAGTAATTGTTATCATGACTAATTGAGACTGTCACAATTATAAAGGTAGAAGTTTTATAACAAAAATAGGGCAGCAGTTAATCTTACAGTCTAGAAACAAAGGACCCTAGGACCACCAAGGGAGAAGAGCACAAGCAGAAAGCAGGACCTTATCCAGAGAAATGGCGACACCAGAGATGGAGGCGGAGACGGGGACATGGAGATGGTGGAGCGGCTGAGGACTCTAGATTCATGGGAAGATAGGAACTAAGAGATAGTGGCTGGAGGCAGACTTGCAGAATGTGCCCTTTAGTGGTGTAAATTATTACGTATGCCTGAGTGATTTAAAAAAAAAGAGCTACAGTGAATAGAGAGAAATACTGTTAACTGATGGTACATGGAGGGGATTGTGCTCATTGTGATGAAACAAGTTTTATGATTTGCTGAATATGAAACTGATGATCTGCCCTGTAAACTTTAACTCAATCCACAATAAAAACTTAAAAACAAAAAGGAAAAGAAAAGAAATTGCATTCCTTTGGTACAAGATCCATATGAAAGTCAGTTGTATCTGAGAGGCTGCCTCACTTGACCAGTGGGTAAAAGCAAAGTCTCTTGATTTTCTTTCTGCTGTAGTCCTTTCCTACTTCAAATACCTCTCAGCTCATGTGCATATTCATTAAACATGCTAACGGGTCCAAATTTGACTTATGGTCATAGAATGTTGATATTTTTTTAACAATTCTGATATAATGCTGCAGTCTTCACTTTAAACCCATTTTCTCTCTTCCTATAATCTTAGAAAAAAGAGGGGGAAAAAAAAGGCATACCAAGGGAGGAAGTAAAGCACTATGGAATATTAAAATGTCATACCTGACTGGTACTGTCAGGAATGACGCTGCTTTCTGCAAGAGGCAACATGCACATGTGAGAGTTTTCAATACTGCAGGCCATTCCACTCATAAAATCAGTCATGGGTGGACTTCTACTGCCACCCGCTTCCTGGAGGTGAAAAGTGTTCTCATCAACCATATCCACAGTGTTATTCTCCTTCTCACTTTCAGCATCCTGTGACAGTGCTAATCCTTTCTCAGAAGCACTGGATTGATTCTGCGTAATAGACATGGCAGTGACGACTAAACGTGCACCATGAGGAAAACCATCATAATCCAACTGGCACAGCTGTCCCCCGGCAGCATCCACGGCTGCTAATGAGACATCGGTGGGAGGAGTATTCTCTTTGTCCTCTTCATCTTCACTGTGAGCCTCAAGAGTAAAAGGTATCCGGATCAGTGAGGTTCGACACTTAGCACCACCTCCACACATCTCCAGTCTCATTGGAGACCAATTTTTAATTGACGAGCAGCCATCTATATAAGGACTTCCGATACGTGGATTCGGAATTCCATTAGAAGTTATTCCAGATGAAGCATCAGGAGAATGAAAAACAAACTTCCTTTGTTCTAAAAGATTGGGAGGGAAAAATTAGCTCTTAAAAGCATGACAAGGGACAAGGCATTATTAAATAGCAACCATGTTTCATGTCAGAAAACTGGATTTCTGTAATGGTTGGGTTATTTACTGAAGTGAGTTTTGGTGTTCAAAAACAGCAGCACATAAGTAGGTCTCAATAAGCAGGCTACTAAAAAAAATAACTTCTCTGGCATTTTCCTCTTTTAAACTATTTTACTCTCAGAGAAGAATTTACTTATACGCATAACATTGGTTTATATAACAAAGAAGATACCTAGCAAATCTTCTGAAAGTTACAACTTTATAGAGGTACCTGGTAAATGTACTATATAAAAATCTATTTGTATGATAATGTAAAACACTATAAGCAACATTTGAAGGCAAATGAAAAATTGGAAAATTGTATTTGTAACATTAAAGAACTTAACAATGACTGATAAATCATTTTTATTGCTTAATTAACCAAGATTTTAAAAAAGGACAAAAGTAATAATGAATCCTCCCAATGGTAAATAACTATTATCAGTGTTTAGCCACACAAATAATTTGAAAAACGGAAATTAGAGCAAATTGTTTTAAAAAAATCAAACCATTTGTTTAACAAAAACACAAAGTAAGAGCTAATAATCTCCTCAAAAATCAAATGGCCAAACAACAGGAAAGAGAGTCTAACATCATTAATGACAAAATATAAAAATTAAAGCAATAGGAGATCTTTTTGTAATATACCAACTCAATAAATACAAAAAATGATGAAGAAAATTTTACAAAATTTATCCAAGGTATTAAAACTTTTGTCCCTTTGATCAAATAATTCCAATTCTAAGAAATTAACCTAGGAACGTAGACATGTAAAATACAATGTATAAGGATACTCATAAGTTCTTTGACAAAAGAGAAATTAGAAAAAATTTAAATGTTCATCAATTGTTGGAACAAATGATAGATCCAAGAGATGGAATATCACATCGCAATTCAAAATAATGTTTTGAGACAATAACTGAATTGACCAAATGAACTAGGTAAATATTCATAAAAATACTCCTAATGCTTTGTGAAGAAAGCAGGATATAGAATTAAGTATGTCTGTGCATGTGTGTTTATCTGTATGCATGGTCTATACAATTCATAACACACAACTGCCATAAAACAATGGTGGAGGTGGTGGGAGTTGTGTGCTGTGCAGTCGACACCAATTCACAGTGGCCCTGTATAGGTTTTCCGAGGCTGAAAATCTTTATGGGAGCCACACAGGGTCACTATGAGTTCAAATCAACTCAAGGGCACCAATCAACAACATGTAAATTTACCTTAAAAATATCATTCAAACAAACATACCTTTACAAATATGAACACTCCATTACCAAAGTCCTTAATCTATAGGCCAAAAGGCTTTAAAAAAAACTTAGGTCTCTAAAGTTGTCATATTTCTTTGATTCTCTTTATAAGAGTGGAGCCCTGGTGAGGTACTGCTGGATAATGCACTGGACTGCAAGATCAGTTTGATCCTCAAGGTCAGCAGTTCAAACCTCACCAGCCACGCCTTAGAAACCCTACACAAGGTTGTTGTGATTCGGAACTGATTCAACAGCATTAGTAACAACAAAAGCTGTCACATTTCTTTGATTCTCTTTATAAAAGTGTTTGGTATAAATACTACTAAACAACTTATATTTATATTAGGGTAGAACTTGGCTGAGAATACCAGACTTTGAAGATTAAATTGTTCCTTTTGTCAAAAATCAGCATTTCTAAATTGTAGAAATTTAGCGTTACATTGTTGTTGTTGTTAAGTGCCATCGAGTCAATTCTGACCCATAAGGACCCTGTATAGGGTTTCCAAGGAACAGCTGGTGAGCTTGAACCACTGACCTTGCAGTTCTAACGATTTTGTAGTCTGATGCATTAGCTTACAGCACCACATGGGTCTATAAATAAAACAAGCTATAAAAGTACAAATATTGATAGCAAAATAAGTAAAATAATATATTTTATTATAAAATATACCTGAGATTGGCGTCTTTCCTATTTGAAATGCAACCGGTGAAAACGTGGGTGAAGAAGAAATAGGTGAATGACTAGCGATGCTGCCCAAACTGTATTTTTTGACATTATCCTGAATCGGACTAGAAGAAAACTGCCCCTATAATTGAAAACCATATAGATATATATGAGTGCATATAAAATTATATGATTTCCTCCTTTAACTGTATTATTCAGCAGGATATTTATCTATATCTTCAAAACATATCTGTAAACTAGGAATCATTTAAAACAACAATCAAAAGAAACTTTCCAACACAGACGACTAGGAAAGTTGATATTCACATTCGGAAAACAGAATGTTAGTCGATATATAAACTAGTATGTTTAAATAAGCCATTCGATTTTATAACAGGCAGCTGCTGATGAAAAAATTTAAAATCACTTACTTCATCAGATATTAATGCCAATCTGGGCATCTTAACTCTGGGAATCTTACAAAATTTAGTAAATGATAAATTTGATCACCCCATATACAAAGTAGGAGCATCTAAACCCAAAACATTACTATGGTTGTTGACAATATACGAACTAGGTTAATTTTCATGAAACATAAAACGTGAAAGTGCAATATGACCATCTATGTCCAAGCATGTCTATAACAAACAAACCAGCTCTTGTAGAATATTTCTTACCGAACTTGGTGTCTGCGCAGGGCTCTCACACTGTACAGGAGATAAATCAATTGAGTAAAAAACCTCAAGTGATGCCTGAGCACCACTCCGAGGACTTCTGGGCGAAACTGGAGACAAGGAGTCAGACATACTCCCATTCGCATCTAAAAACAGCTTTCTTCTGAGAGATGAAGAACTGAGGTTTCCAGGAGACTGATCAGCAAATTCATCAGCTCTAAAATAGTCACCTATCGTCAATGTTAACAGAATAAAAGGTAAAGCTCATGGTTCTGGAAAGCAATTATACTACTAGTTAACCTCACTGTTTAAATACCAGCTTGTGTTACATGTTTGAATTTTTTTTAAATGGCAAAGTTTAACTGCATGTGTGATGTTTTAAATATTAAAAATCATGCCTTATTTAAGTGCTTCATTATTAGTATGATGTTGTTGTTGTTAAATGTTGTGGAGTCGGTTCCAACTCATAGTGACCCTGTGATCTTGAACCGCTGACCTTGCAGATCAAACTGACTTTGCAGTCCAGCCCATTAGCCCACAGCACCACACCAGGACTCCCATTATTAGTATAGGTGTAACTAGCAATATGTATCCCATGAACAGATTATATTAGCAGTAAAGTTCCTTTCAAATGAAAACAAATTCAGGCCATGTAAAAAAAAAAAAGAGGCATTTACCACATTATCCAATTTACAAATAGCAAGCAAAACAAAACCTTCTATTTTCATTATTAAAAGTTCAAGCAAATACAATATTTACCTAATATATTTTCTAAGTTAAAATCCACAGGAAGTGACAGCAATGTCTGACAAGCAGCTGGAAGCAAACAAACAAATACAAACATAGATATATCAATGAAAGCATGTAACATGAAATGTAGTATGTGCTTCACAATCCACCATCTCCCCAAGATATTTCAGTCAAATCATTATTTCATCTCCACATTCTATTACACCCCACCACCTTCCTATAAGCAGCTTCCCACACCTCAAGCACACTGGATAAACCTGTTAATGGTAAAAGTTACCTCCTAGCTGTGGTGCTAAAATGAAAAAGGAAACCAGCATATATTTGGGGCTAGATTTGTCAATGTTATTAATTCATTTGAAGAATGCCTCCCAAAAGCAGATGTCAATTCGTATGCTTTGAACAAGAAAACAATACATTATTGCTGTTTTTCAAGCTTGGCTGGCTATATCTATTCTAGCATAGTAGTTTTTAAAAACCAACTCTGAAATTATCACAGAAAGTAAAACAATTGCAATTTAAAAACTGAATGTACATATATCTTTGCATGTTATGTTCATACCTACCGTTGCTTTTCTCAGGATGAATGGTCAGCTGGCTTCCAGTTGGAGACTCACTATTTATATTTTTGCCTGGAAAACATAAGCCTATTTTGATACATTCTTTATTTACTTTAAAATTATTTTTTCCAGAGTAAAAAATAAAATTGTTACTTTATAGTATTAACAATATAAATATCGACTCTATATAAATAAGCATACATTTCCGCATGTTTCTGTTACGATCTTTTTGTGGAACCTTTGAAGACGCACGAGGACAAGACTAGGATTGCCATTGTTGTTGTTGTTATGTGCCGTTGAGTCGATTCTGACCCATAGTGACCCTGTATAGGGTTTCCAAGGAGCAGCTGGTGAGCTTGAGCCACCGACCTTGCAGTTCAAATGACTTTGCAGTCTGACACATTAACCCACAGTGCCACACCAGGACTCCAGAAGGATTATCATAGTAAATAAAAACCGAAACATGACACCCATCACTGTCAGGCTGATTCTAAGTCACAGCTACTGTACAGGGCAGAACAGAAATATCCCATTGGGTTTCCAAGGCTGCAAATCTTTACAGAAGCAACCTGACTGATAGATTCCATCCACTGACATTTCAGTTAGCAGTGGAGTGCTTAGCCACTGTGCCACCAGGGCTCCTTATTGGGGTGTGGAAAAAAGTGGGGAGTGACATAATGTGGAATCAATCAACAGAGACAAAAAGAAAAGAGAAATCATTTTCTGTCAGTGTAAGTTGAGTAAAGTTATGTTGTAGTCAGGTGGCATCGAGTCAGAACCGACTCATAGCGACCCCATGCACAGCAGAACGAAGCAATGTCCGATCCTGGGCCAACCTCACTACCGCCGCCACACTTGATGCCATCAATGATGCCACCTGGTTGATCCATCTCATTGGGGGTCTTCCTCTTTTTCTCTGACCCTCCACCTTACCCAGCATGACATCCTTCTCCAGCGACTGTTCTCTCTAGACAATGTGTTCAAAGTAGGAAAGACGAAGCCTAGCCATCTTGGCCTCTAAGGAGCACTCTGGTTGCACATCTTCCAAAACCGATCTATTGGTTCTTTTGGCAGTCCATGGCACTTTCAGTATTCTCCTCCAACACCACAACTCAAAGGCATCAATTCTTTTATGATCTTCCTTATTCACTGTCCAGCTTCGCATCCATATAAGGTTATTGAAAATACCATGGCTTGGGTCAGGAGCACCTTAGTCCTAAAGCTGACATCTCTGCTCTTCAATACTTTAAAAAGTTCCTGTGCAGCAGATTTGCCCAATGCAATACGTCGTCTGATCTCTTAACTGCTGCTTCCACGAGTGTTGACAGTTGATCCAAGAAGAATGAAGTCCTTGACAACTTCAATCTCTTCTCCATTGATAAGAATGTTGTTTATTGGTCCAGTGGTGAGGATTTTTGTTTTCTTTACATTGAGTTGTAATCCATATGGAAAGCTGTGCTCTTTGGTCTTCATCAGTAAATATTTTAAGTCCTCTTCACTTTCAGCAAGCAAGATTGTATCATCTGCATATCTCAGGTTGTTAATAACTCTTCCTCCAATCCTGACGCCAAGATTTCCTTCATAGAATCCAGCTTCTCGTATTATTTGCTCAGCATACATATTGAACAAGTATGGTGAAAGAACACAACCCTGTCGCACACCTTTCCCAATTTTAAAACATTCAGTGTTCCCATGGTCTGTTCGAACAACTGCATCTTGGTCCAGGTACAGATTTCTCAGAAGTACAATTAAGTGTTCTGGAATACTCATACTTCTCAATGTTGTCCATACACACAATCGAAAGCCTTCGCATAGTCAATAAAGCATAGGTAAACATCTTTCCGATATTCTCTGCTTTCAGCCAAGATCCATCGGACATCTGCAATGATATCTCTCTTCTGAATCCAGCTTGAACCTCTGGAAGTTCTCTGTCAATGTATGATTGTAGCCGTTTCTGTATTACCTTTAGCAAAACTTTACTCGCTTGAGATATCAGATTGTCCGATGATTTCCGCATTCCGTTGGGTCACCTTTCTTTGGAATGGGCACAAATATGGATCTCTTCCAATCAGTTGGCCAGATAGTTGTCTTCCAAATTTCTTGGCAGAGATGAGTGAGTGCCTCTTGTGCTGCCTCACTTTCTTGAAAGATTTCAATTTTGATTCCATCAATTCCTGGTGCCTTGTTCTTTGCCAATTCTTTCAATGCACTTTGGACTTCCTCCCTGAGTATCACTGGCTCTTGTTCATATTGTACCTCTTGAAATGGTTGAACATTAACCACTTCCTTTTGATACAATGACTCTGTGTATTCCTTCCATCTTTTCTTGATGCATTCTGCATCATTCAATAATCTGCCCAGAGAATCTTTCAATAATGAAAGCTGAGGCTTGAATTTTTTCTTTAGTTCCCCTAGCTTGAGAAATGTTGACCGTGTTCTTCCCTTTTGGTTATCCAACTCTAAATCATTGCATATTTTATTATAGTATTTGGTTTTATCTTCTCAAGCTCATCTTTGAAATTTTCTGTTCAGCTCTTGGACCTCTTAATTCTTCCATATGCTTTAGCTTCTCTACGCTGGAGAGCAAGTAAAGTTGTATACACTGTGAAGTTGTGGATTTGGATTCAAATCCTGGTTCAGCCATTTCTTAACTATGTGACCTGGGCCAAGTTTCTCTATCTGTAAAATGGGAGAAATGACAGTATATACTGCAAAAAGTTGTTATGCTCTCGTGGAACAGCTGTGAGATTAAATAATCATGTTCAGTGTCTACAAAGAACTTGGCAATAGTAATCTTCAAGCAACGGGAGCTAAGAGTAATCACTTTCCAGTTCACACTGGAGCTACAGGGCAAATTACTTAAACTCTGTGTGCTTCAGCTGCCTCTTCTGGAAAATGAAAATAATTCCTATAGCCCTAGCAGATGTAAAGAGGGGAAAGTTTGAACGATAAAATCAATATCCTTACTTAACTATATACATATGGAACTTTAAACCCTGTAAATACTGTATGGAGTTGGGTGGTACAGTGTTTACGGTGCTTGGCTGCTAACGGAAACCTCAGTGATGTGAACCCACCAGTTGCTCCGCAGGAGAAAGATGTGGTGTAGTCTATTCCCATCAAGATTAGGGCCTGGGAGACCCTCGACGCATTTCTATTCAACTTTATAGAGTCCCAATGAGTCAAGCATTAACTCTATGGCAGGCTTTGGTTTGTGTTTTATGTGCTGACACTGAGCTGGGAACTGTGTGGCCAACCCCTACGAGCCACAAATTCTTCATCACAATCACCTTCATTTGCTGCATGTGCGGTTTTTAAAACAGTGAAAAGGCTGTGGGCCTTTCTTTGCCCTAAGGTACGGATAAGTTAAAACTATATGCACCTGTTCTAATTTCCCTACAAATTTCACTTAAAATCACATTTAGGAACATATCTCATTTGTAACCTTGTGACTGCCTGTACTTCTTCCATGACAGATTTGTTTGTTGCATAAAGAGTACGGTCTCACAAACCCTATGGCGCTGTTCTACACTATCCTGTGGTGGTTACGAGTCAAAATCGACATGACAACACACAGGAAAACAGATCTGCTTTTGAATGTCCATGGAATCATTTCAAAAGTTGATTATATAGTGCTCACCTTGGCAGCACATATCCAAAAACTGGAATATACAGAGATTACCATGGCCCTGCACAAGGATGACACGCAAATTCGTGAACTGTTGCATATTTTTGTATGATTTGTTAAATGCAAAACTGATGATCTTCTCTGCAAAACTTCACTCAATTCACAAACACACACACACCTCATCATATATTTGGCCACAAAAGACCTCAATAAAGTTGTATAGGCCGCAGTTATATAATCAAGATAATAATAAATTAACAAAAAGATAGTCAAATTTAGTGTTAAATAATTATTCCATCAAACGGGAAACCAAAACTACAATTACAGATAATTTTCAAAGTAACATCACTAGTAAAATTATATATCAAAATCTTTGGAACGTCGCCAAACTTACGCCCAGGAGAACAACTGACAACCCTAAATACTCTTATTACTATATAAACAACTAATGAATAAGCATTCAACTCAAAATGATAGGAAATCACAGAGATCAATTCTAAGTGTGAGGTCTACAGCCAGGCTGCCTAAATTCAAATATCAACGCCAGCATTAACCTCCAGCTTTATGAACTTGGGTAAGTTAAACTTACAGCTTGGTTTCCTCATCTAGAAATGAAAGTATCAGTCACATCGTATTTTCATAGGGGAGGAGTGAAGATTACATGAGTTGATGCATATGACGCTTAGAATAATACAACTGGCACATAATACATATGCTAGTTATTACTGTTATTGAAAAAGAGTTAAAAAAAAAAGAAAGAAAGAAAGAAAAAAAGACACAAGTAAATATGACAGAAAACAGAAGCAAAAGAGAAAGAAGGAAACCCAGGTCTCAAAGAAACTTGTTTATAGAGCCAACAGCATACACAAGCTAAGGCCTCAACTAGAGCCCAAAACTAGATAGTGCCCAGCGACCACAATCAACCATTCTGATCACAGTCACAATAGAAGGACCCTGAAAAAAGGGGAGAAAAACACTGAAGAGCACTCAAGTTCTAAAAAAGTCTTGATTTACTGGACCAGTTGAAATCAGAGGACTCCCTGAGACTACTGCCCTTAGAGACTCTTTAAACCTTGAAATGAAACTGTCCCCTAAAGATCATCTTTTAGCGAGACAACGAAGTGGTATACAAAATAAAAGATACTACCTATAAAAACAAGTAGTGTAGTAGTGGTTACCAGTCGGGCTGTGAACCTCAGTCAGCAGTTCGAAACTACTAGCCATTCTGCAGGAGAAAAATGAGGTTTTCTGCTCCTGTAATGATTTATAGCCTCAGAAATCCTACACAGGGTTGCTATGAATCAGAATCGACTCCACAGCACACCATCACCACCATCTATAAGTATGGTGCTCAACTAACTTAACAAAACCACCTATATGAGACCAAAGGAACGCTAGCGGTGTAGTGGGTTACCTGTTGGGGTGTTAAATGCAGGGTCAGCAGTGTGTATCCACCAATAGCTCTGCGAGAGAAGGATGAGGCTTTCTGCTTTCATAAAGGTCTACAGCCTTGGAAACACTATGCTATGACTGAGAACTGACTTGAAGGCACATAACCAACACCACCACCACCACATGAGAACAAAAGGTCAACAATTACTTAAAGCAAAGATGAGAAGATAGAGGAGCAAAAACTCTAGAGTACTAGTAACAGAGTAATTAGAATGCAATTAAAGAAAATAGACACATTGTGAAAAATGTTAACCATGTCATTGAACAATCTGTATAGAAATTAACAGAGGGGAACCTAATTTACTATGTAACTTTCACCCAAATCACAATAAAATAAGTTTTTTAAATGCAAATAAAAAGGAAAGAGTGGAAAAGACCAGACTTTTATGCCAGAAGGGGTACTATGGGTTACCTCATAAAACAGTATTTTAAATCTCTGTTGCTGTTGTTATTGTTATGTGCCATGGATTTGGTTTCGACTCATAGTGACCCTACATAGGGTTCACACATAAAACTTTACTTTTGTTATATAAGTTAAAAGGTGACAATGCAGAATAATGGATGGGACTGAAAGAACAAGATTGGCAGTTCAAACTCATCACCTCTCCCCGGAAACCCTATGCATGGTCGCTATGAGCCGGAACCAACTCGACAGCACTTAACAACAACAAGTAATAGCTAACACCATACCAGGACTCCCTCAGACTACTGTCAGCTTAATTTTACAAATGAAGACTCTACTTACTCCAACCAAAATTATGGCATAGCATGATTGCTTCTATCTGTGCACACAAAATACACAGGAACTACATATAAAATATGCTGTTTTTCTGGATTGAGGTTAACTTTAACTAAAGGAGAGTTGTGGCGTGGAGCTGTGGGTTAATGTACAAGACTACAAAGCCACTTAAACTGCAATGTTGGTGGTTCAAGCTCACCAGCTGCTCCTTGGGCACCATATATACAGGGTCGTTATGGGTTGGAACCAACTCGACGGGACTTAACAACAACAACAACGGAAGAGACACGAACAATTATCTTCTCCATCAGAAGTTTCTGACGTTTCAAAAACTAAGTTAGCACTAGATTGCCAACCATAAGGTTGGTGGTTCAAACCCACCGGGCTTTCCTCAGAAACCCTATAAAGGGTTGCTATGAGTCAAGATTGATTCAAAGGTATTTAGTAACTTAACAATATACTTTAAATTGTTTTACATAGCTGAAGAAACTGTGTCTGTTTTAAGAGTGACTTCCAGGCAATGAATATGAATAGTGTATGTGTTTTTTCACATTACACCAATGGTTTCCATCAGGTACATGCCTCAGTGCCTGAAATATCATTGGTCCAGTATTTTGACAATAACTTCTGTTTTGTCTTATCATCTACTATGCTACATTGTTGTTGCTGTTGAGTGCCATTGAGTCAGTTCCTACTCCCAACGACCGTTGAGTTTAGCATGCTTATTCTACAGCGTCAAAAATTGGATAATAAAGGCTAATTATGAAAGATAACATGTATAAACAAAACTACTTATCTCCAAATACTGAATGGTTTAAAACCAGGGAAGGTGTGTACCACGGTTGTATCCTTTGATCATATTTATTCAATCTGTATGCTAAGCAAATAATCTGAGAAACTGGATCATATGAAGAATGTGGCATCAGGATTGGAGGGAGACTCATTAACCTGCGATATGCAGATGACAGGGCATAAAGGACTTACTGATGAAGATTAAAGACTATATCCTTCAGTATTGATTGCACCTCAATGTGAAAAAACAAAAATGGTCACAACTGGATCAATAAATAATGATAAATGGAAAAAACACTGAAGTTGTCAAAGACTTCATTTTGTTTGGATCCATAATGAATATTCATGGAAACCACAGGATAAGCACTGGACTGAGAACCACAAGGTCCGTGGTTAGAGCTCACTAGCTGTTGTGTGGCAGAAAGATGAGGCTTTCTGCTCCAGCAAAGATTCACAGCCTCAAAATATGAGTGAGAACAAACTTGATGGCATTTAACAACAATATCCAATACCAATTGTTCCTGTATTTATGGATGTACTATAACAAGGAGCTCTGGTAGCGTAGTGGTTACGAATCGGGCTGCGAACCTTAAGGTCAGCGGTTCGAAACTACCAGCCGCTCCACGGGAGAAAGATGAGGCTTTCTACTCCCGTAAAGATTTACACCCTCGGAAACCCTGTACAGGGTCGCTATGGGTCGGACCCGACTCGATGGCACTTAACAACAACAACAACAACATAACAAGCATTAAAACTGAAATTTATAATGATCAGTAATTAAAGAATTAAACTTAGAATGATCAAAAGCGAATTGATAGTTTTATAAAGTTTTGGGTCCTAGCCCTTATGAAGGCAAATCCTTTATTATCCAGCAAGTTCATTTGTGAAGGACAGCAGGCTCCTTACCATAGCATACAAACGGAAACTTCACTATACAAGGAGGCTTCAAAACGTTTATGGAAAAATTGGATTAAAAGATAATGGAACTTTATTTCATGATGCACAGAGGGGATTTTAATCATGGCAAAGAAATGAAATACGATAGGATGAATGTGAAGCTGAAGGGGGACAGATGCAAATAATGATGTATGCAAAACCTTGGAACAACAGGGCTCTGGGATAGAGATTGAGACATGGTTTGAATGGGGAAAAGGGGGGAAATAATGTTAAGATGCTTGGCTGTCTGTTGAATCTTGGTTCCCCTGGCATACTGCTGTAAAATAGACACTGGAGGGGGAGAGAAAGGAATAGCAGAAATACCACCCTAGGAAGCTTGTAAGACCGTCTTCAACCTATAACTGATTGGAATACCTAAAATGGGGATACAATGTACCCAGCGAAGGAGGCTTCCTGCAGAGCCTCTGTATTACACAAGACCATAGGTGGAATCCTGAACAGTATCCAGATTCTCTGAGGGGAAATTTCCATTTGAAAGGACAAATAAACCAGCCTGAGCAGCCAGAAGAACAGAAGATACTTCCTGAAAGAAAGACTGAGAGGAAAAATACAAAACAATATAGGCAAGCCGACTGATTACTACAAGAACAAGCAAGTTTCTCGCCCAGGAGACATCAAGGCAAGTGGTCAGGTCCCCCTCAGGGCAAACCCCCTTCTAAGACTAGGCTCAATAGGAATGCATGCTCTGATTGGTGACCACGTTTGTCACCGATAAGGGGAATTGAGGGAAAAACAGCAATGAAGCTGCGAGCTAAGCCCTACAACGCTCAATACGACTCCTGTGAACCTGGATGGAGACCTGGTTGGCCAGCAGTGTGCCAAGTCCAGGGGACTCTTGGACCCAGAGTCAGTGATATAGCCACAGAGGACCAGAGTGGAGAGTGAAGTGTCCAGCTGATAAGAAGAGAGGGCACATGCATAAGTACACTCACACTTGCAGATAATAACCACTTAACCTGGCTTCAATGGCTGGATGATCAAAACTCAAACACAAGAGAGGGAAAAAAGAATAATCTGATACAATTTGATGAACTTGACATACACCTATAGATGCAGTAGCTCAAAAGAGTGAACAAATCTTCACAGCAAGGATCATTCCCACCCCCTCCACACACAGAGAGGACAGGGATGGGCAACTTGGACATTGTCTACCAAGAATGGGGGGGCTACAGAAGCAAGAAGTTACTGGCTTACAAGCTTTCAAGAGGGAACCTAGATCCAGAGGGCATAGAGCAAGGTAGAATCTCCACTGAGTAGTATCCATTCTCTCTAGTCAGGGCTGATAAATGGAGATGAGGCTAGGTCTCTTGCGATACAATAGTGAATAATTATTATCAGGACTGATTGTAAGGGCTGGAAATGTAAAGGTAGACATTTTAGGGCAAAGGAAGGGCAATGATTAACCTTGCAGTCTAGGAGTGGAGGTCCCTGGGACCATCAAAGGAGAAGAGCGGAGAATGGAACCCTACCCAGAGAAGCAATGATGTCAGAGATGGAGGCAGAGAAGATGACATGGGGAGATGGAGCAGCTGGAGACTTTAGACCCAGAGAGGGAGAGGGGCGGGGTGCAGGCTTGCAGGATATACCCTTTTAGTGATGGATGATGCATGGAAGGGATTGTAACCATGGCAAGGAAAGGATATACAATGGGATCACTGTGAATCTGATGTCCTCCCATGTAAAATCACATAATTCACAATAAAACATTTAAAAAAAAATTTAAATAAAAAAGATAATGGAAATTTTCCATAAACTTTTTTAAAAGTCTCTGCATATGTTGTTTTTTATCCATTGGGTACTAATGATGCATTTGCCCTTACAATACTTACTGTTGACATAAAGCTATCTTTTTTACATGACCTTTGCTTTGTTTTCAAATAAGCCTCACAAAAATTTCAGCACCTTTAGTAAGAATATAAATTTAAACTATCATTCTAAAGCATGAGATGGGAGAAATAATTATGCCTTCAAAAAAGCATCGTATCTAATAAATCAAATCTGCTGTGATAAAACATTCTGGCTTTAGATGCTGCGCTCTACAGGTAGTATTTAAAGTGCTGCTGCTTCGATCAAAGGAGTTGTTCAAAGTCTGTGCTTAAGCAGATGCCAATCTGAATGAGAAACCCAGTAATTCCACGTACAAACTAGGACAGGGCCCACAATGACAACTTTCTGCTTCAGAAACCTTTAAATATGAATGGAGTTACTCACATTTACTAGGATGACACTGTGAAAGCTGCTTTCCATCATGATCGGTCCAAGGAGAGGGCACGATGACGTCTTTAGTGAAAAACTAAGAAATAAAAGTCATACAATTAGGCATAAATTCCCCACAGAATATAAAGATAAGAGGAATCTGTGATTGTTTTCATCTAATCATTTCAAATTTGTCAAGTACTGATTGTATAGTTACGTTAAAAAATTTTAATACTTAAAAGCATAAATGCATAAAATGGACGCAGAAGGCATTTAATGTATACATAAAGAGCAATCTTTAACCTCAAATCAACCACTTAAATCTGTTGCCAAGTTAAGCTACAGGCATTAAACAAAGTAAATGAGCATTTAATTTCTCTCTTTGCAAATTCTGTGGGTTATGTTTTTGTTTTTTGTTGGCGAGAGAGGATAAAGAAGAAAGGAACAAACGGAGAGAGAATGATACGTAAGTAAGCCATTAGGTAAGATGTAATAAAGTTGGCTTGTGCTAGCTCAAAGACATTAATACTAAACTTTTAGAAATTTTGTGTATTAGATGTTAAACAAAGCCATTATGAAAATAAAATTATATAACTTTGTAATTAAATGAGTTATATTAAAATTTTAAAGGCCACACGTACACAAAAATGCATCACTTAGTACTTTACCATATTTTACCAATATCTAAGCTCATGGAATGAAGTTGAACTACTGCATATAATAGGAATTCATTACACAACTCTTCCCTTTCAGTGATGCCATCTCAATAGCTTAAAATGGGCATGCATTAGACAATTATACCATGTTGTTGTTGTTGTCAGGTGCCATCGAGTCGGAACTGACTCATAGCGACCCCATGCACAGCAGAA